CTTTATTTAAAAAAAGACTTATGCTTTTATTTATGCTTTTGTTTTGTAATTGCATTAATAATTGTAATAATTAAATTTCTCTTTATGCAAAATTTACATAGAAAAGTTTTTCATCTGCACAGTATGACTGAATGTCGAAGCTATTTATAGCGATGAACATTTTATTCTAAAGAGCGTTTAGTCTAAAGTTTTTCGTGACGCACTCAGGCATTCAAGGCGAGAGATCGACGACTCGTGATTCAACTTTCCCATGTAAAATCGTAGTGGGAAATTCACCTGATTATTAACAAGTCTCATATTCGTGGAATTGCGAATGAGCGTTAAAAGCAATTATTTCCGGCGACCGACGTCGTACAATTAGATCCTCAGTGCCGAAATTGCGAACCGACCGCGAATTATAGCGCATGCATTGCATATATCTCGTTTTACGGTTATTAAATTAAATTTGATTCGGCTCCATTGTCCGTGCGAATACGCGTACAGAAAAAGATAATTTCATATCCTCAGTAACGATTAAAAAGCTATCAAGGTCATTGAATATCACGAGTTTTAAAAGAATACTTTAAGAATATTTGCATTCGTATAAAGAACTAATTGTAAATTATTCATGTCCCATTTATATTAAAGGTTAATAAGAATAATTTTTAATTTATTGAAATAAATTTACGATCAACGTGTTTGCCATTATTAGATAACTCGATCTGTTCGAATTTATTATAAAATAAATATTTGTTTGTGTAACTAAATTTTTAAACTTAAAATATATAAAATTATTTTAACATTGTTATTAATAATTAAGATATTATGAAGGTCGTAATATGTAATAATATGGCATAGTCTAATAAATAACAGATTTCTAGACTTTTATGAAAAAAAAAATGAATTAACCAGTTTAGAACTTGTCGACATAATTTTAAAGATATTTTAAAATTAATTAAAATTAATTAATTTGTTTTTCGTAAAAAAAAAGTACTTTCGTAAAGAAAATAATATTACAACAATTAGTAACATGTATCTCGATCTTTTTAAATTAATCTTCTGAAATACCATCTTCCAGCTAGAAGCTATCAAATAAAACAAATTAAAATTTTAAATAATTATCTTAGCAGAATTATTAATTTAAATTTAGGCATATAAGTTATGTGCTCATTCATCATAAGCTAGGCAATAAGAGTAGAAATTATCATGGGAAGTTTATTGCGCAATTCGTAAGTAAATCGTTTCAAACATAAATATATATATATATATATATATATATATATATATATATATATATATTATTAGTAC